ATTAAAAAAAAAAAAAAAAAAAAAAAAAAAAAAGGTAAACGACGTGTAGTTTACTTTATCAACAGTCGTCCTCAAGACTTCATCTCTTGGATTCTCAATTCTTTCCCTACATGTCGTTGTTTTCCTAACCCCACCATTTACTATCATACCCAAAAGCCACAAAAAGATTGAGAAAAAAGATGATAGGGGAAAAAAAGACAAACCAAAACCACCTTTTGTTCATCATTTGATTATCAATCCTTTATAAAGCTTATGTTTTTCTCTTCTCTTTTTTTGTTCAACATTTCAAGATGAGATTTTTATGTTAACCCTTTGAAGATATGGGTTTGAGGAATCACATGGCACAAGAAAACCACATAACTTTCATAGAATGGCTTAAACCCTCCATTTCTCTCTCTTCTTCCCTTTCTTCGTCCTCTTCCTCGTCCTCTGATCGAGATTTGATATCTCCGACGACCGCCCAAAGGTGCCTGCCTTTGTTCACGGAGAAAGATGAAGAACGGGGTCGAATTCGAGATCGGGAAAGAAAAAGCTTGGGAATTAAAGAGGAAGATGAAGATTTGGTGAAAGTAGAAGTGGGTTTGCACATTGGGCTTCCAAATGTTGGTGATGTCCCTAATTTCGGTGATGGGAATATGAATGGTTTTGTAAAGAAAGAAGAAATGCAGAAAAGCTTCTCTAATTTTAGTACTCAAGGAAGGTTTTGGATACCAACGCCGGCTCAGATCCTTGTCGGTCCGATGCAATTTGCTTGCTCCATCTGCCACAAATCTTTTAATAGATACAATAACATGCAGGTAATTATGATTAAAGTTGTCTAATTATCTTTTATTTGTTTGTTTATAATCCTTTCTAAGCTCTTTTAGAAATGATAACTTAAAAGTAGAACGGTGAGATCCTAGATTGGGGAGGAGAATGAAAACACTATTTATATTTATAAGGGTGTGGAAGTCTCTTCCTAGTAGACTCATTTAAAAATCTTGTGGGGAAGCCGAAAGGAAAAGTCCAAAGAGGACAATATCTCCTGGCAATGGACTTGAGCTGTTACAAATGGTATCAGAGCCAGACACCGAGTGATGTACCAGCAAGGAGGTTGAGCCTGAAGGGGAGTGGACACGAGGCGGTGTGTCAGCAAGGACGTTGGCTCCAAAGAGGGGTGGATTGAAGTCCCACATCGATTAGAGAACGCGGGGTGGATTGTGAGATCCCACGTCGGTTGTGAGAAGAACGAAACATTCTTTACAAAGATGTGGAGACTTCTCTCTGGTAGACGTGTTTTAAAAACGTTGAGGCAAATTCTCAACTAGAAAAGATAAAACAAAAAAAAAAGAAATCAATAATTAAGATTTGCAATGTTGAAACTCAAAATGTGTATTTATATATATACTTTTTTAACATTGAATTATGGTATTGTGTGTTTTAGATGCACATGTGGGGACATGGCTCGGAGTACAGAAAAGGCCCAGAATCTCTTAGAGGATCACAGCCAGCAGCAATGCTAAGGCTACCATGTTATTGCTGTGCTCATGGGTGCAAGAACAACATTAATCATCCAAGAGCCAAGCCATTGAAGGACTTTAGAACTCTTCAAACCCATTACAAAAGGAAGCATGGGTCTAAGCCATTTATGTGTAGAAAATGTGGCAAAACTTTGGCTGTCAAAGGAGATTGGCGAACCCATGAAAAGAATTGTGGGAAGCTTTGGTATTGCAGCTGTGGCTCAGATTTCAAACATAAAAGATCTCTTAAAGATCATATTAGATCCTTTGGAAAAGGCCATCACCCTACCTGCCCTCTTGATGGGTTTGAAGATGACAAAGAATGCCTCACTGGGTCTGATCAAGAACATGAGTTTGCTACTCATTATTAGCCTCTCTTAACTTATAATATCTATTAGGGTTTATCTCGTCTGATGCAACTATGATCGTATCTTAACTCGTGCTTGGTAGCAAAACATTCTCCGACCGTTGGGCATTCGAGGAGAGATTATTTGGAGATTGACACAATGTGGTTGATAGTTCGGTATGGTTGTGTGTTTGGACGAGACAACTACATTGTGACGATCGAATTGAATCGTGTTCGTAGAAGCTCGAGAGGGAACGATTTGCTACCGAGCACAGTGAGATATTTAGTTTAGGGTTTTCAAATAAGGGATTGCTACAAGTACAAGTGATGAAGTAGGCGAATTTTCTTCTCATGAGATGGATTTGATTGTCTCTCTTTTATGGAGGAAATTCATCAGCTTCATTGCTTATTATAAAGTGGCAATCTTTCATATCAAGGTTGAAACTTTCTCTCTCTCTCTCTGTTTCTGATTTCTCTCTCCCTTTCTTATGCGAAGGACTTTTATGATAAATTTTTATATAATTTTTATGGTAATTATCTGCTTGAACTTTAATATCAAATCTATTCGATATTTTGCATCGTTCTTTCTCTCTATTTGTTCTTGTTTAAATTCAGAAACGTTTGTATTAAACTCTTAAATAGATCCTATATCGATTGGAGTGAGGAATGAAAAATCTTTGTAAGAAGGATGTGGAGACCTCTCCCTAGCCCTAACAGACGCATTGTGGCACCCATGTAAAGGATGAGTTCATGAATGAACTGAGACCACATATGAATGTCTGAGATCCTACATTGGTTGGAAAGGGAATGAAACATTCTTTATAAGGGTGTGGAAACCTATCCTTAACAGAGTGTTTTAAAAAGAAAGTCCGAAAGGGAAAGCCCAAAAAGGACAATATCTGCTAGCGATGGATTTGAGCTATTATAGAATGAGAGCGATCTTGAAAATAAGATGACTAACAAAGGTTTAAAAGAATAGGAAGTCACTACCTATACCAACAATGACTATCTTTTGTTCAATAGCTCACCCACAGAAACTCCAAAGTAAAACGTGTTAGGCTTAGAACAATTTATATTGAGAGACCTGTTAGGAATTTTCTTAAGATGCATGTTAGAGAAATAATTCTTGTCGATATACGGGATAGTGTTTACTCTTAGAAACAAGCGATAAGTAACGTGACTATCAGGTGTCGGATTCCGATTCTAAATCTTGGGTATGGATCGTTACACTTTTCCTTCCAATTTGAATTGGTTCAACACGCTAGTATAATTTTTGATACATTTGTTAAGTTGCTTATTGTCAACACCAAAATGGGAAAGTTAAAAAAAGAGAGTCCAACTTGGAGGCTTTCACCAAATAACCCACCAACAGAGATTAGCGGCACTAATTAATAATATTTGGAAAGAACAAAAAAAAACATTATTATTAATATTTGAAATTTGAATTATATATATTTTAGTTATTTGAATTCCGTGACCAAATCATTAGAAGGAATTGAATGCCCTAAGCTATGTAAAAGCAAATCTCAAAAGGACCCTTTTGGCAATTTTAGAAAAAAAGAGGGTTAGAAGTGTGAATATGTGAGAGTTAGGCTTGACTAAAACTTTCAAAAGGTGACCGAAAAATACTAAAATATAATTTAATTTTTCTTTAAGGTAATGGAGCTCCACCATGTTTTGTCGGGAAATAAATTATTATTTTATTTTATTTTTCAATTACTGTTTTTGTTATTGTTAAGAAATAGAAATAGAAAATAGAATTGGAAAAGTGTATATTATAACTGATATTGATATCCATTAAATAGGATACAAGAAGTACAAAGGAGGAAAATATAAAATAAGTAAATACTGAGAATAAAATAAAATATACAGTAAATCAAATCATAAATAAAAGATATAATATCAAAGATATATTCCATAACTAAATATATTCTTCAATATCTCAACACTCCCCCTCAAGTTGGAGAGTGTATGTAATCACATCCAACTTGTCTTTACGAATGTAGGTCAATAACACCCGAGTTGTCTTTGAGAAGAGAGTGTAGGTCAATAACACTTTCGTCACAATGGTGAAAATATCCGTCAAAAATAGACTGCCTTTAATTGGTTTACATTTTTAGACTTTCAAGAAATCATTGAATTTACAAAAAAGATGCAAAACCAAAAAATAGACTGCCTTTGATTGGTTTGCATTTTTAGACTTTCAAGAAATTATTGAATTTCCAAGAAAGATGCAAAACTCAAAAATATACCACAATGATTGACTCGAGGATTAGTAACTTGTCCCATTTAATTTGATTTGAAACAAGTGAATATCCTCCCTGATCACTTCTTGGTCCATGCATAAATGATTTACTGGATAATAACACCAAGATCGGTGCTCTGGATCACTTGAGAGGTTGTGAAAGAAAATACGAACATCTTGAATATGTCACCTTTGAGCTTGGTGAGAAATTTGAAGATGCTTATAACGTATTCTTGATATTGGATGATCGGCAACTATAAAAGCTTCACTGATTGAGTTAGGGTTTGGCTTTAGGTTTAATACTCCCCTTGGACTCAGAGTCCAAGGGGGTCTTAAGAATACCACAATCGATGCTCTGATATTAGGAATATCAAGATCGGTGCTCTGATACCATGTTAAGAAATAGAAATAGAAAATAGAATTGGAAAAGTGTATATTATAACTGATATTGATATCTTTTAAATAGGATACAAGAAATACAAAGGAGGAAAATATAAAATAATTAAATACTGAGAATAAAATAAAATATACGGTAAATCAAATCATAAATAAAAGATATAATATCAAAGATATATTCCATAACTAAATATATTCTTCAATATCTCAACACTCCCCCTCAAGTTGGAGAGTGTATGTAATCACATCCAACTTGTCTTTACGAATGTAGGTCAATAACACCCGAGTTGTCTTTGAGAAGAGAGTGTAGGTCAATAACACTTTCGTCACAATGGTGAAAATATCCGTCAAAAATAGACTGCCTTTAATTGGTTTACATTTTTAGACTTTCAAGAAATCATTGAATTTACAAAAAAGATGCAAAACCAAAAAATAGACTGCCTTTGATTGGTTTGCATTTTTAGACTTTCAAGAAATTATTGAATTTCCAAGAAAGATGCAAAACTCAAAAATATACCACAATGATTGACTCGAGGATTAGTAACTTGTCCCATTTAATTTGATTTGAAACAAGTGAATATCCTCCCTGATCACTTCTTGGTCCATGCATAAATGATTTACTGGATAATAACACCAAGATCGGTGCTCTGGATCACTTGAGAGGTTGTGAAAGAAAATACGAACATCTTGAATATGTCACCTTTGAGCTTGGTGAGAAATTTGAAGATGCTTATAACGTATTCTTGATATTGGATGATCGGCAACTATAAAAGCTTCACTGATTGAGTTAGGGTTTGGCTTTAGGTTTAATACTCCCCTTGGACTCAGAGTCCAAGGGGGTCTTAAGAATACCACAATCGATGCTCTGATATTAGGAATATCAAGATCGGTGCTCTGATACCATGTTAAGAAATAGAAATAGAAAATAGAATTGGAAAAGTGTATATTATAACTGATATTGATATCTTTTAAATAGGATACAAGAAATACAAAGGAGGAAAATATAAAATAATTAAATACTGAGAATAAAATAAAATATACGGTAAATCAAATCATAAATAAAAGATATAATATCGAAGATATATTCCATAACTAAATATATTCTTCAATATCTCAATAGTTATATTTTAAAATTAAAAATAAAATTTAGAAAAATAAAAAATATTTCATTTTTTATTTTGAAGATGCATAAATAAACTTGTTTTAAAAAGAAAATAAAAACTGAATAAATAAATAAATAAATATGGAAATAAAAAGGTAAAAGAATAAAAATGGGGACTCCATGAATCATGATTATAGATTTTATAAAGTATACCTCTCAACTTGTGATTCACATCTTACCTAACCCTTTTAACTCTTATATCGAACCACACCAAAAGACCTTATACCAATAGAGATAATATTCCCCAAAAGACTTCGTACCAATGGAGATAGTATTATTTGATTATAAATTCATCATCATTTCCTAAATTAGCAATGTGGAACTTTCATCCAACAACAATTCTTACGGGAGAAGTTTTATGCATGCCCAAAATTCTATGGTTGGCGCTTTTTTGTTGTTTAAAAAACAATTATAATCGATTCATCCAGGTGTTTTTTAACTTTTTATTTTTTTATGATTATGTTGCTTTTTTCATTTTATTTTAGAGAGTTGTTCAATTTCAAATTAGGGCTTTACTCAATATATCGACTTTCGGTAAAAACAAAGCTTATTTAAGGTGAGAAGTGATACAAACTTTATTTTTGTGTGGGTTCTACTTTTAAAAGTTGGGTTCTTGATTTTAATGATGGCGGTCACCCAATCTAAAACATTAGTGATTTTTTGATGTTTCTTTCAAAATATGATAAACAATTACTTTAGAGGAGCATGTGACTTCGAACATGTGTGATAAACTTTATAGCATAAAATTCGAAGAATTAAAAACAACTTCAACTTGAAAACACGGCCATGTTCTTACTTGTTCAATACATAACACTGAAAAATAACTAAAAATAAATATGAAATAAATTAAGATAAAATGCAATACAATTTATTATAACCTAAATTTAGGAATTTAAATATGCATCTATCCTATGCACGTGTCATGGTCTCTACTTGTGATGTCACCGTCAACCGTACATGGGTGCCTTGCCTTTACCTGAAAAATAATGAGGCACACGACCTGAGTATTCCGATAATACTTAGTAAGTGGGGTCATGTAAAAATGCAAACAAATGCAAATGATGCTCTCAAGACCTATTTCTATCTCATACTAAGGGTGGCCTCCAGTCTGGACTAACTTGAATATGTAGCACTTCCCTACACACAACCCACACGTGCGAGTGTGAATCTCCAGGCCGTTCGCACCCCACCTAGATCAATACTGGTCGAGCTATATGTTCATAGTGACATTCGGAGGTCAGCAGACCCTTGAGTGCCATGCTCAACATGATCACTATCAACATCATAGTGTACATGTCCATACGTACATAAATACATGAGATCCCTCTATTTTTCATCTTAAAACATCTCTTTGACACAACCGTAGTTTCATCTCTATATTAATTATAGTAATATATGCTCATTAGATATTCATGTTAATATCGTTATTCATGCTCTTTAGGGATGTGTCCTAGGCCGATTTCTCAACATGATGCAACTTGCATTCATGACATACAACATACTTAATATGGAAGATATCATCATATTAAGGTAAACGTCATGCATCATAAACATCATAATCATCATGCTGCCATTAAATACATCATAATCATCGAGCACAGCATACATCATCATATAACTCATATAAAACATCATACTCCTCATACGTTCCATCTCATATATTATACATCATATA